CCCTCTCCCACTCCCCCTGCTTGTGTTCCCTCTCTCACTGTGTCTCTGTCAAATAAATAAATAAAATCTTTATTTTTTATTTTTTTATATTTTTACTTTTTTTAAAGATTTTTTATTTATTTACTTGAGAGAGAGAGAGAATGAGATATAGAGAGCACGAGAGGGAAGAGAGTCAGAGGGAGAAGCAGACTCCCTGCTGCGCAGGGAGCCCAATGTGGGACTCGATCCCAGGACTCCAGGACCATGACCTGAGCCGAAGGCAGTCGCTTAACCAACTGAGCCACCCAGGCGCCCTAAAATATTTTTTTTAAAGATTTTATTTATTTGAGAGAGAGAGAATGAGAGACAGAGCGCACGAGAGGGAAGATGGTCAGAGGGAGAAGCAGATACCCTGCTGAGCAGGGAGCCCGATGTGGGACTCGATCCCGGGACTCCAGGATCATGACCTGAGCTGAAGGCAGTTGCTTAACCAACTGAGCCACCCAGGCGCCCAATAAATAACATCTTTAAAAAAAAATGAAAAGACATTTATTTGAGAGAGAGAGGGAGAACACAGAGGGAGAGTAAAAGGGAAAAGCAGAATCCTCGCGGAGCAGGGAGCCCGATGCGGGGCTCCATCCCAGAACCCTGGGATCATGACCTGAGCTGAAGGCAGACACTTAACGACAGAGCCACCCAGGTGCCCTATTTTCGATGACTTTCTGGATTCTTTGTTTGTTTCCTTAAAGTAGCTACCACTGCTGCTGATTCAACATGTTTCATTCTATACATTTTTAATGTGTATTCCCGTTTTTGAGAATTTGAGCGAAGAGCTATTAAATTTTTTAGCATTAGAATAGCAAGAGTAAAAAAACCTCTTGGCAAAACATGATTGAATCTCATGGGGGTTGGATTCCACATTCATTAAGCATTTACCAAGGAACTGCCAGGCTTTTGTATACTTCATTTACTCAAGATAAGGCCGAGAGGTAGGCATTCTATTTTTAAAGATAAACAGTGACTGAGGGTGAAGGACCCACTGCCAAGTGCTTCCTTGGCGCCCTCCCAGAGAGACAACCCAGGGATATCCTTGGTTTCTCAGCGCCCCCTAAAAACCCAGGATCATCGAATCATTATTCAATGATAAGTCTTCCTCTTCACCTTCTGTCTTAAACTGCAAGAAAATGATTGCTAAGACCTCCTTCATCAAGTCTCTGTTCACTATCAGCTCTCATACACCCCCCTCCCCCCATGCCAGTGCCTTCCAAATAATTTCCTAACAGGGATATGAGCAAAGTTTAAATCAATTCACCTGGTCACTGCAGGGATCTTGTTCTACCTTCAACAGTTTCCATTCTTTCGGAGATGGAGCATCCACTCTATGTTAGGTAGGTATTATTCAAGTAGGAGAATTAAACAGGGTCACAGAGAGAAAGGCTGAAAAATTTGACTTTTTTGGTGTTTACTTGTATAGAGGAAAAACAGCACATAGATGCATCCACAGTATTTAATTTGTTTGGATAATAGTTACAGATAAACAGGTACACTCCATATACAATTACCAATACTTTTTTATACAGTTCATATTTCAGTACATCAACACTATTTTATTTACACTCTATTTATGTACATTAACATCTTTCTAAAGTCAGTGCATTGTCAACAAGTTTTATACAGTAATTTACAAGGTGAATGTAGTTAATAGTTAATTTAATAAATTTTCTGCTAGTCATGAATTAAAAAATTAATTACAACCAATATAACAAACACAGATCAAACAACATTAGTAGATTGTGCTACCTGCTTAAATAAAACATCTGTAAGGAAATTATTTTAAATCTTCCACTTTTTCACGGGATTTGTCCAGGTAGAAATGGACAGATTTTTATATACTGAAATCATGACACTATAAAGCCTGCATTTTGTCTGACTTCATCATATTTTACCATTTAGGCCACTCCTTCCTACTTGTAATTACAGTCTTTTTCTGAATAGGGTTTTGACTTAGGTATCCATTTAAAACAACCTTTCCAAATGCTCTGAGAAGAACTGGATAATAACCTGCCTCAGGTATCAGAGCACAAATGCTTAATTACATTGGTACCTACTATCTGTGAGGAAGGAAGGTTAATGAAATCTGACAATTAATGAGAATCACTCCCAGGGTCCAGATGAATAAAAAAAGAATGGAAAAAAAGGGGGGGGGAATATTTACTTTACATATATTTAAAAACAACACAGGGAAAAAAAATGCTGCCCGAAATAAATAACATTTATACTTTTGTTCCAGTTTTGAATTATCAGAGGAAAAAAATGAAGCGAGCAAAGAAACATAATTTTTGATGAACACTACTGTGAAATTATTAAAAAAAGAAAGAAAAAAAAAGACAAACACCAAAAAAACCAAAAGACCAAACAAATGGACATGCAAACAAAACAAAAGCTTACTTCCTAAACCCACCAATTAAATAAAAAATACATACTATCAGTGTCTGGGATGTGTTTTGTTTTTAAATTTAATATGATGGGGCAAAATACCCCCATTCAAGTTAATTTATAGCCCTTACAGCCATCAAATATGAACATGTTTTAAAAAAGTTCACTTGCATGTATTCTCTCTTTTTTTTAAAGTGCAAAACAAAGAAACAAAGAACAAACAACCCCTAGTTGTAAAACACCATCTAGCTTTGATGCCACCTTCCCTCTCAGAAGCTCTTGTGCAACGTGGGCATGTAATGATGGTGCAAATATTGGCAACTATCCTACTGTGCTTCAGCAGGGGTGGGGGATCCATTTCTGAGGACACTTGAAGTATCCTCAACGTAAGATGCCTCTATGTGCAGGGCTCCTTTAGCTGGATTTCCCAGGATGCTTTTTTTCCCCCTACAGGGTCTCTGACCATGGCCCTGGGTAGAAGGCACACAGCTCTTGAGAGAGTCTCCTTTCTGAACTGACCACTTCTATATGCCTCTGCCACGAATGACTGGTTGTGTCTCAAACACGAACACAACAGAAACAAAAAGCAAGAAAGGCATAGAAAGAGTGGGGGAAATGGTTTAAAAAATAAATAGAAAAATGTGTGTCCATGCCAGAAGAAACCTTTGCACACCTTCTGATCTTGCTTTCTCCATCTTGTCAATATAATGGAATAAAACTTCAGAAAAAGGAGGTAGCATATCATGTCGTCCCCAGACAACACTACAATTTTTTGTTTGACTTTGACTCCCAGGAAATTCTTAGCATTTTGTTATGGTTATTGGTAAACTCTACACTCACTACATGTTTGTTTATATCTGGACAAGCACAATTTAGTTCTTATTTGGTCCCAGGTGGCTGGTGCCAAACCCTTTTGCTTCCAGGCTAATGGTGGGCTCTGCCTGAAAGTTCTCTACCAGAGAGCTCGTGTGAGACACTTCCAAACCAAAGTATTACTACTGTTATGTTAACTGCTATTTTAATTAGGATTTTTATTTTGTGCTTCAGGGTCACAGGATAAAATAACTACATTTAGCTTGCCTTTCAGCGACGCTTCTGCCAAATGTCAGCTACAGGGAGCCGTCCCCCTCACCACTAGCCTGCCTAGCAGCCAGAGTGGAAGCTCTACTGTAACACACAGTACTTTTTGTAATCAGACTCAAAGTCTTCATCCATGCTGCTCGTGTCTGCCATCTTTTTGCCATCGATCTTTGGCAGAAATTGTGCATAGTCTATCCCCTGCTGCTCATAGAAAAGAATGTAGGCAGAGTCGGTGTCAATTTCATCTGGGTGAAGTTCCTGAAGGGGAAAGAAAAGCCTTTAATAAAAAAGCCGTCCCTATGCTGGCTCTTAATCCTTGCTAGGGAAGGGAGCACCAACCTTCTTTAATTACTAACCCAGACTGCTTCCAATCAACTTAATATTTTGGCTGCCTGGTACCTGCCCTAAAATAAGTCCTATTATTCTCAATGTTTGTTTTGGGGAAAATAGTCTGACCATTGACAAATAAGAAGAATGAAAACAAAATAAAGAAAAAAACATCAAATCCTAATAGCTCAAAAGGTAAGAACTTTTTCTCACTAACCAATATCTTCTTTTTCCTCACCGTTCATGTTTTCATTCTCTACTCTGCACATCACTTTTTTTCCTTTAATACTGAAGGCACCTATATAATGACTCTAACAAAAATATCTATTTCCTATTTGGGACAAAGTCCATGATTTCAACAAATGTTCCCTAGATTTGTCGACATTTCTGTTTCTTTTATTTAAAGAGTGGGGATATTTACCTTACAGCTGCTGTCATTATAACAGTACCACTTGCTGTTTGGGTTTTTGGCATAAGTGACATAATGGCCCCCGCCCAGAATTCCTGAATGGCACTGCAAGAGAGAAAAAAGTAGAGGTATGTTAGTGGTTAACAGCAGTCTGGCCAGGGCACAACACTAGGACCCAATCAGGAAAACACAATCACTTAAGCGATTAAGAAAAATGTTTTGGAACCACCTACCCTACCCTTTTCTAAAAATAAAACAAAAAGAAAAGTCAAAGTTTAAAAGCTCCAAATCTTACCATTTTATAGTTGTAACTATTTTTTAAAAAGCTAAAATTCCCTAGGTGTACATAACTATGAATGCCTTGAACCCGTGACTCCAATTATAATATTACATGATTATCCCCTGCATTACACTGGGAGCACCTTGGATTCTACCCAGAAGGCCAAGATCTACTGCTAACTTTGTTATCACTAAGTTCAACGCCTAGCAAATAAGGAGGCCCTGAAAAAAATGACTGATGAATGAATGAAGATGAAGGAACCACAGAGAAGTGCAGATCACTCTGGAAACCATGTAATCACTTACCGAAATTGCATATAGATTATAAATAGGCTTAACACGAACATCTTCTCTTTGGTCATCAGTGCTGTCTTCTTCACTGTGGTTTTCAAGCTGACCATTGCTGTAGCCATTGCCACATGCCTCATGATCATAAAGAAATCCATTGGCCAGAGCTCCTTCATGGTCCTGAGGGGTGACCAGCTCAGTTTGGCTGCCCCCCAGCATGTGCCCTCGGCTTGAGGCATCAGCCAGCTCACAAACTTGTCCAGCCCCATTCTCTCTGCTGGCATCCAAGTTCTCCTTACTACTTGACAGTTTATTTTTGCTGCCGATCTGGGGTAGCCGGAGCCTCCCTTTGCTCCTCCCTAAAGTCCTAGGGCTACTGTTAGGGCTGCTATTTTTGCTGGAGGGACAGCTGGTTCCACTTTTTCTTGTTGAAGAAGGTGAACCTGTGAAAGGGAGAGAAGGACAAAATTCATAAATCCCAAATGCCACAAGTTTAACCAGCCGCCAAATGCTAACTTTGAAGCCAACTTCACAAGTGTACACATAAAGGTAAATACAGGGGTGTTCTGACCAGCTACTTTTTATTCCTATTATGTAGCCAATGAGTTCTTCCTCAGGCCAAGCTCCCACAGGCAGCAATGTCCTGAAAACGTAAAGTACCATGTAGGGACTTAAAAACAGCAGAAAGATGAAAATAAAATAAAAACAAACAGCAGAAAGATAACTTCGGTCAGATTCAGTTCCAAACAATTAGACTAAAAAAAAAAAAAAACCACAATTACACTAAGATGTATTACAAATATTCTCCTTTGTTAAAGTAGATTAAAAGATATGATAGCCATTTATTAAGCACTTACTATTGCTAGGCACAGTATTGGGAACTCTCTACTATCTCTACCTCTCACAACAATCTGGTAAGGTAGTCGATCTCAAACTTTTTGGTCACAGCCTCCCTCATCTCCTTATGTACTCTTAAAAATTGTTGAAGACCCTAGAACTTTTGCTTCTGTGGGTTATATCTGTCAATATTAGTATTAGAAATTAAAACTGAGGAACTAAAAAATATAATACGTAAACACATATTTCACTGAAGATATCACATATCATGGTGGCTCTTACTCCAGGCACATTTGTGAGAATAGAAGTTGAAAAGGTGAATACTGTCTTAGTATTTTTTATGAAAAGAGTTCTACTCCTCCAGGCCCCCTGAAAGGGTCTCTCAGAGACCCTCTAGGGGTTCCCAGACTATACTTTGGGAACAAGGATGACAACTATCATTCATGATCACAACAGGTATCAGGCATATATGGTGTTTCGTTCTTGATGTAGCAAATCCTCAGACTCTGGGAACTTTTATGAATGAGAAAATAGATTTAGGGAGGCTGCATCTCTTGCTAAAAGTGACACAGGTGACTCAAATCTAGATAGGTCTGATTCCAGATAGGTTCCTTCTACCTCACCAAGCAGTTGTTCCAGAGTGGAAAAAGAGGGAAACACGAAGCCTATAGGGGTCCCAGGAAAGCCCTTCTCAGGGTGACATCTGGGCTCCATGAGACCCTCCAGGCTTCCTCACCTTTAGGGCTACTGATGATGTTTGCACTGAGTGAAGATGGGCTCTTGCTTAGGAGCACCTCCTCTTCCCCAGCTGAATTCTGAGCATCCACTTTCTTCACGTCTCCTCCCGGAACCCTGGGCTCAGAGAGGTCATCCCCCTGGGGTGTGAGTGGTTTACGCTGACAGAGAGCCGGGTCTCTTGGTACCAAAAAAGCACTCGGGTCAAAACTTTCACGAGGAAATTTAACAATTTTCTGTGACTTTATCCATCGACCATTTACAAATTGAAATCGTTTAAGGTGAATAATCTGAAGAAGGAAAGGTAGAAAACAATTACGTTAAAGGGTTCAGAAGATACAAAATTACATGTAAAAACCTCAAGTCTAATACATGTGAATGTTCAAGAATATATAATCTTTTTTTTTCAAAAAGAATATATCTTATTATGTAACAGAATTATCAGTGGGGCCACTGGCCTTTAGATGTATAGCTAACATGGTAATCTCCCTAATTTCATAACCTGTGCATATCCTAAATTCTTCCCAAATTTCTGCAACATCCTAGGAGCCCATATTTGCGTGTCTTCCTCTGCTTCCTGGGCCTGTGACCCACACTGACCTTTACCTTTTTCCAACATCATAGAAGATCCACTCACAAATATACTTCTGTCATGAAGACAGAAGACTATACTGAGTATTTTGAAGAAAAATGGATGAAACTTACCCAATCTCCAGTAGGAGGCCTCTCATTTCTTACCATATCCTTTGGTTGTTACCAGAGAGTTTCACTGTCCTAAAGAACGTAAGAATCTCCCTTTTCCTTTGTGGCTTCTCTTTTCTTTTTCAAGAGCAACAAATTCCTCTAATCTTATACAGTGTTATTATATGATCTAGTGTGGGCACAGATCTTTGGGTGGCTACCTCTACCCTAAACGCTCACAATTTACTGTGTATATAAAGAGAAACCCTTCCTAAGGGGTATACTCCTATATGGATCTACAGAAGCCCATGGAGCTCTCAACATAAAATTCATTCTTTAAAGACATAAAAAACATAGTTTTTATATAAATACCTTTACTGCATATGTTCTGTGTGATTTCACAGGCATACATAATTATCAAAACTCATCAAACTAGACATTTAAAATCTATGCATTTAATTTCATGTTAATTACACCTCAGTTAAAAATAAACTTTCCCCCTTCCCACCCACCTGTCCCAAGCTTGCCCCTGCCCTTTTCCTTTCCTCCCAGAGTTCCCATCCCTGGAGCTGGCTAATTAATGTTATTAATTTCCTGTGCATCCTTTACTGGGAAGTTGTTCTGGTCCAAGGAAAGAAAACCTACATTTACCGTCTCACAGAGTAGTAGGAAGAAGACATGAAGAAAAAAATACACACAAGGTCTGGTTAAAATATACCAGTGCCTTACAGTTACATTTGATATGATACTTCCACCCTTAAGGAAAAATACTTTCTTAAATGAACAGGAAGATATGGCACTTCAAACTCTCCTGACAAGCAACAGAAGCATCTTCTCCTGAAGTTCAAATTCACCAGGACGCACACCTTGCGGCACTTCTCACATACTGCACTGAACTACAGTTAATGTTCTATATGACTTCCCTCTCCTTCTAGCCTGTATGCTCCTTCAGAGCAGGAACTGGGAGTAATAATATGTATAGAACAATTAATCTGTGTGCAACACAAAAACCTTGCACAGCCAAAGGGTTTTAAATACTGCCACAGGAAGAGTCTTCTTATTCTCAAAAGTAATAAAATTCCTATCTGTTCATGACTTCCTTCCTATATGCCAGGCTCCTGCTCTCTCAGAGGTAGGGCTGTAACATACCAGGATTGGGGGAAGCCTCCAGAGATCCAGCTTCTTGGTTGCCAAGCAGTGGGTCTTACACTTGGAACAGTAGTACATCTCATTTTCCCCTAGCTCCTCCTCACTGGTGAAAGCACGGAGACAGCTGTCCAGGTTGATGGGCTCAGCTTGTGCTTGTCGACTCTGTTCCACACTCTCATGCTCATCGACAACCTGCAGATGGAGGGAACAATAGGAATGGCAGAAGGGGTGGGCGGAAGGGCAGGAGGGAGGGGGTTTAAAATGGTCCCATGGCTAGGCATCATCCGTTAGGTGACTCATTCTCATTTTATTCTACATGAGGAAAAAGAAAACAGGACTCAAACAAGTCTGAGCAAATGCAGTATTTGTACATTTACTTCCAAAATCACATCAATAACATTTGGATCAAATTTCTATTTATATGACTGTAATAATTGCTTTTCTTGAAAATTCTCTGAACTCTTCAAAATGACAAAAACAAGGAATTGCCTGTTTGTTTTACAATTTTTGAATTATAATGATATATTTTATTTAATCCAATACATACAAAATGTATCATTTCAACATGTGATCAATATGAGAATTATTGATGACATATTTTAGATTCTTTTTTTTTAAAGATTTTATTTATTTATTAGAGAGAGAGAGGATGAGAGAGAGCACAAGAGGGAAGAAGGTCAGAGGGAGAAGCAGACTCCCTGCTGAGCAGGGAGCCCAATGTGGGACTCGATCCCGGGACTCCAGGATCATGACCTGAGCCGAAGGCAGTTGCTTAACCAACTGAGCCACCCAGGTGCCCTAGATTCTTTTTCACTAAGTCTTTGGAATCCTTAACTTGAATCAGGCACATTTAAGTGTTCAAGAGCCACACGTGACTAGCGGCTACTACACCTCTATTTTACAATTTTGAAGTCCTAAAACAGCTTACATGTGAGCTCACCCTCAAGCCAGGGGTGTTGAGGTTAGGCCATTCATTTTCAAGCAGAAAGACAATATTATTAGTAGGCTGCAGGCTTTACAGGAGAAATAATATCACTGGAACACAGGTGCCAGATCTGGATTAAATCAGAAAGGGTACAAAAAGCTTGCCAAGAGAAGGGAACATATGAGAGCATGAAACCCCACAGGATAAAACTCATTTGCATGCTGGTGCCATGTAACAGAGTTATCAGAATACCATGTGTATCATCTGTCCCCTGCCTCATGGGGCGTTTTTACCAGAGACGGCAATAAAGAGACGGCAATAAAAGCAACAGCGGGCTCAAAAAATGCCTAACTTTGTCGAGAAGACCCCTAATACCTGCCCAAACCTTTCTGGTTCTACTAACCAGCATGCTAGGTTCAGGAGCAAGAAGGACATATGTATGAGAGAGAGAGAGAGAGCAGAGGGGGTAGGTGTGCAAGGATGTGTGTTGGAGGTAGTGTGGGGTCAGCAAAGAGGAGAGCGGGAGGTACCTAGAATGCAACAGACAAGGAAGAATTTTCCCGTCTCCCATTCTTGTTGCCACTTAACAGCAACCGAGAACCACAGCGGGTGAGGCACAGCATCAGGACTTTGAATGCTACCGTGAGACTTCACACAGGGATCTTTTCATCCCAGGGCGGGGTCTGGACACCAAGTCCAACAATAAGGTCTCTCTTTCTGGCAAAGGGCACACACATGTCCATTACTGAACTTATTACTGACCCCATTCAGAGGTGAATTTGTTCTCTTTGCCTGAGGCAACTTCCCTTCTGTTTTCCTTCCTGAACTTATGATGGGAACACTGAGCCACCTAGCTTACAGATTGGCACGGCTCAGGACATTCAGTTTACAAGAGGTTTTCATGTGTGACTTTCCCCACATGAGAGGCTTGCTGAGTCACAGGCTGTCAAATGCTGGGTTGACCATGCAGTTAACGGTTTTAGCATTGCATCACCAGCCATTTCTAAAGATCTACAAAGAGGAACTTAGAGAAAAGTCTTTTTTTTTTTTTTTCATAATGAGAAATCTGGCTTGACCTTAGGTCACTGACTTCTTTTCTGATACTAACTTTCATCATCTTTAGAGCTGGTCATCTAAGGGAAAAACAGACATGCTTCAAAAGAAAGTATGTTGCATCATGGTTGCTGGAATCAGAGGAGTAAAACAGTAATATTCTTTTCTCATAGCCAGTTAAACATTATCTCTATCAGGGATGCTTTATGGACAACAACCAATTGCAGTAAGCTAGTAAAGAATGTTGATCTTTATTCACTATATTTCTCATGGAACACACAGGCTACTGGAGACAAGGAGGAAGGTTCGTTAAAAAAAACCTATTTGTGGGCTGATAATAATTTTTATTTATCAATAAAATTTCCCTAAATGACAAAGATTCCCTTTTTATGTCTTGGGATCCATTCCCAGATCCTCTACCACTATTCAAATAGTTTAAATCACTCATTGGCACCCTCTTTCTTCTTCTGCTTGAAAGCTCATCCTTAACACAAAACATAAAGAATGAAGTCATGGCTTTCTCACATGATAAGACTATTAGAAAAAGAGGGAGATATAAAAAGCTATCTACTTCAATTAGCTATTGAGGAATGTGAAGTCTAAATAGGTGAAAAATAAAAAGACTAAGAGCAATTGCCTCTTTTTCTGTGTACCAAATAAAACATTTACATAGAAATTTTGAAAGCACAGAAAAATATAAAAAGGCAGGGAAACTTTTATATTCTTTTTTTTTTTTTTAAATGTAGGCTCCACGCTCAGTGTGGAGCTCAATGGGGGCTTGAACTCAAAACCCTGAGATCATGATCTCAGCCAAAACCAAGAGTGGGACGCTTAACCAAATGAACCACCCAGGTGCCTGCCGTTTTATGTTCTTTTCCTTTTCCTAAATAGTATTCTTTTATATTGAAAAGATTTTTCAGTATGTGCAATTCTATACCTTGCTTTAAAAATAACCCATGACATCGTTAAGTATCTTCCCATATATGCCAATAAAAAAAAAAAAAACTGTGGTAATGGGGCACCTGGGGGGCGCAGTCTGTTAAGCATCCAATTCTTGGTTTCAGCTCAGGTTGTGATCTCAGGGTCATGAGACCAAGCCCCGTGCAGGGCTCTGAGCTTGGCTCTGAGCTTCGCGTGGAGTCTGCTTGAGACTCTCTCAAATAAATAAATCTTTAAAAAAAAACCCAGAAACCCCCCAAAACCCCTGGTAATCATTATTTTCAATGACTGCATAATAGTTTACCCAGCTATTATACTATGCTTTATTTAACCATTCCTCTAATGTGGGACAAATACAAGTTTCAAATTTTTCTACTATTCTAAAAATACTATGATGAAGATTTGTCAGCAAATTACAGAGTATTTCCCTAGAATAAATTCCTAGAATCACTGGGATAAAAAACATAAAATATATGGGCAAAAATGTCAATTCTGAACCAAGGAATCTCCCTTGTCTACGTGACTCCCCAAGCACATGCAGAAACCACAGGTAGGAAGAGAAATTATGTAGAAATAAATTAGTCAAAAAAAAAAAAAAAAAGAAAGAAAGAAATTAGTCATGTGGCCCCAGCCCCTAGCAAAGCAGGATATATCAACAGTAAGTTGGTTTCCATGGTATCCTAAGAGCATCACTGAAAGTGGAAATGGGGTGAGACTGAACAGGTCACGTAGGCCCTTCTTTCTATAAGCAGAATGTCCTCTAGAGTTTTTCAGATTGTACACTGGAAATTTCCATCAAGAGCCACATAAATGCAAAAGCCACTACAATTCTTCAGGTGACTAAAAAAAAAAAAAAAATCCTTTGATTCTGTTGCTTTTACTTCTCCATCAGATTTGTCATATCTCTATCCATTAGCTACCTAGCCAAACTATCCTTCAAATGATATTTGGCAAACATTTTTAGGTATGGAGTTAGTATTCTTTTTGAAGTAACATTTTCAAAATTTAAAACTGCTCTGGCAATAGAGGAATGCTAAGTGTAAGAATAGCCACTGAGATATACTCTTAGGTGCCCGGTCTTCAAACTTTCAATCTTTTCTCTAATTTTTCTGATCAGTATGCCCATTAAGAACCTATAGCCCTGGGATGCCTTTGAGTTAAGTAACAGTGGTTACCAAATGCTACAGCTTCAATAATAATTAATAAACAGGCAGAGAGATATTTATTGCTTGGTATGTGATGGCCAAACAATATAACATCTTAAATATACCCAGAGTTTCAAGATTTATTTATTATTAGTATTTTTGAAATATAATGCCCCAATACAATTAACTCTAGAAGTGGGAAAACTGAAACATCCATGTAATCATGCCAATATATTAAGTGCCACAGAGAATACCAATGAATATTTTTCTGATTGATGATTTAGATCACCTAAAACAGAAACGGCACAATACGATTAAACTGGGAAAATGCTTACAAATAAAAATCACCATCTTATGGTGGCCTTGAGTACTCACCCTTTCCTGTGATGTTTGATAGCGGAGGTGAAGAGCTGTGGGGTCCCAATCCACAGCAATACAGGCATTTCCGATGAAAGCTCGGTCTTCCCCACAATCAATTTTACAGCCTCTGCAAAATCTAAAGGGGGGGGGGAATGATCTACTGAAGGATGGAATAATTATGAAAGAATCCAAATTTTCTTTATCAGATATATTCTCCCTTTCTACTCCACTTTCTTTCTTGGGTTCACAGTCTGTCATGGGCCTCTAACTTAAGACTGATCAATGCATGAATATATATTAGTAATTATTATTATTTCAGGGAAGCATGCCTATCACTTCTCATGTCTCTGTTTTTTCAAAGCACTTGACAGCCATTTTTAGTCCACATGAGTATGTGGACTTTATGGCAAGTAAATGACATGGAAATTGGACATTTGAGATAATACACGGGTAAGAAAATTCTAAATTTAGTTATTTAATGCTCTGAGGTAGGATAACTCATCTGATATAACAATGCCTATTTCTTTGTTTGTAAAAGTGATATGCTAAGTCTATTACAGTTCTCTGAAGGCTGACTTCAGTACTCAGGTATTTTCCAAGGTGCAACAGTAATGACCAATAAATCTCCATAATTCTTCTAAAAATAAAAAACAGATTTCCAGGAAAGTCTAGTAAGTAGACTGTTTCACTGGACTCAGAACTGCTAAACTGATTTATATTTAAAGAGCAGAAAGTATAAAATAATAAATGTTGATCATAAACTATGAATTTGATGAGTATCATAGAGTTTATAGAACCACCTAAGACTCAAGAGCAAACCTAAGTTATAGACCTCATAATAAGGAAAAGATGAATCAATAATTCCTAAGTTTATTCTAAGCTTCTCATTATTCAATATTACTTTTCAATATTACTTCTTTTTTTTTTTTAAGATTTTACTTATTTATTTGACAGAGACACAGCGAGAGAGGGAACACAAGCAGGGGGAGTGAGAGACGGAGAAGCAGGCTTCCCGCGGAGCAGGGAGCCTGATGCGGGGCCCGATCCCAGGACCCTGGGATCATGACCTGAGCTGAAGGCAGACACTTAACAACTGAGCCACCCAGGCACCCCATATTCAACATTACTTCTAAAAACTGGAAACCTTATGAAAAAGGTATAATATCTGAAGTTGCAATTCTACTAAAATTTTTCTTTTGCAGAAGATCACTTTACCTATACCATGGGCACCAAGCACAGGAGTTTCCATCTTTCTGCACAACTCGTAGAGTGAAGGGATATTGATAGCCCATACTGTCATCACTGAAACAGAACATAAACCAAAGAGTATAAAAAAACATTTCTGATTTGAGGTCTCAACTCCTTTTCATTTTCTCTTGAAGTAACCCAAGGCAGGGACATCTGTCATAGCAGTATGCTCATGGTGATGGTTCAATGCTGGTTATCTTAACCCATAAGCAGCAGCCAGCCCTGTACTAAACACACTCAGGGCTCCCATGCTGTATCCCTGCATACAGAAGGGTAGACAGACTAGACTGCCAGATGTCTCTAAGAGAGTCCATGTGGTCCACGCAAATTTTATAAGATAAGCAAATCATGAAATCAAATACCAATTATCCTTCAGTCCTAATTCTATCATAAGATTTAATTCACACTAAACAAGTAATTAGACCTTTCTATGACAAGAACATTGACACAGCACAGAAGGCTGAAACGTCATAATGGTTTTTTAGAAGAGTCGACTAACTATATATTTAGAAGTTTTCTTTAATCAGAATCCTGATGTGGTACATGAGTTACCCCTTTTCCCTGCTTTAACTACTCAAAGCTATAAGGTACATAACATTTTTATTTATTTATTTTTTTTAAAGATTTATCCATTTGACAGAGAGAGAGAGACAGCGAGAGAGGGAACACAAGCAGGGGGAGTAGGAGAGGGAGAAGCAGGCTTCCTGCAGAGCAGGCAGCCCCATGTGGGGCTTGATCCCAGAACCCTGGGATCATGACCTGAGCCAGAGGCGGGTGCTTAATGACTGAGCCACCCAGGCGCCCCAGTAACATTTTTAGAGTAATGTCTTTTAACTGCAAAACAGTCTTGAATTCTCCAACTTAAAAAAATATTTATTCATCCTTGCCCCAATAAGAAGCAATACAGGGCAGCACATCTGGCAATTGGCAGTGGCTATTACATGGTTGCTGAAGGTAATGAAACCATGATAAGGACTTCACACCTCCAAAAATCTCCGTTCCAAATATCCTACTTTGCAACAACCATCTCCTATCCTTTTAAATCACTTATTCAAGTATCACTACTTTAACAATTATTTGACCAAAGAGAAATTTATTTCTTAAAAAGATTTTATTTATTAGAGAGAGAGAGCAGGGGCAGAGGAAGAGGGAGGAGAATTCCTGCTGAGCCGAGAGCCTGACACGGGGGCTCGATCCCAGGACCCTGGAATCGTGACCTGAGCCGAAGGTAAGACACTTAACCAACTGAGCTACCCAGGCCCCCAAGACCAAAGAGAAATTTCTAGTCACTGCCCTCAAATCCTTACTTTTCCTCCTTGTCCACTGTCCCTCAAAATCATCTTTTATATAGATCCTCAATTCCAGGAATTTGTCCATCTAATGTAAACATTCAAATTTACTGACATTAACACTCACAAAAAGAGAGAACTGTACAATGAACCCCCATGTATCTGTCACCCAGCTGTAACAATCACCAATCCTTGGCCACATCTATTTCATCTATCCCCTGGATTCTTTCATTCCATTAAAAAAAAAACTATGGTAAAATATACATAAAATTTACCATTTAACCATTTTTAAGTATACAATTCGGTGGCATTAAGTACGTTCACAATGCTGTGCAACCATCACCACCATCCATCTCCAGAAATTTTTCATCTTCCCAAACAGAAACTGTGTACCCATCAAGCAATAATAATTCCCCTGCACCTCTCCTCCCAAACCCTGGTCACCCCTAATCTACTTTCTGTCTATGAATTGCTACTTGAGATATCTTTTAAAAGTGAAATCCCACAGTATTTGTCCTTTTGTGTCTGGTTTATTTCACTTAGTATAATGTTTCTTTTTTTTTTTTTTTTTAAGATTTTATTTATTTATTTGAGTGATAGAGAGCACGAGAGGGAAGAGAGTCAGAGGGAGAAGCAGACTCCCTGCTGAGCAGGAAGCCCGATGTGGGACTCGATCCCGGGACTCCAGGATCATGACCTGAGCCGAAGGCAGTTGCTTAACCGACTGAGCCACCCAGGCGCCCTAGTATAATGTTTCTGAGGTTCATCTATGTTATAGTGGGTATTGGAACTTCATTCCTTTTTATGGTTAATGAACCCTCCGTTGTATGGATATACCACATATTGTTTATCCATTTGTCTGTTGATGAACATTTGGGTTATTAGCCTCTTGGCTATTGTGACCCACTAATTATTTTGAAGGAAATTGGAGGCATTTTACCATTTTCATTCATAAATATTTCAGCGTGTTTTCTCTTATTATTTCTTTATTGCCTGTAGAAGCACTTTCTCTTTTACCTATTCTAACCTCCATGCCTTAATCTACACCACTCCACCAAAACAGCTTTTGCAAAGGTCACAAAGACTGCCATTTTATCAAGTCCAGTGGTCAGTTCCCACTGGCTGTTCCTTCTCAATCTCACTTGTTGTCATTTTTCTTTCTTTTTTTTTTTTTTAAAGATTTTATTTATTTATTTGAGAGAGAGAATGAGAGAGAGAGAGAGAGAGCATGAGAGGAGGGAGGGTCAGAGGGAGAAGCAGACTCCCCGCTGAGCAGGGAGCCCGATGTGGGACTCGATCCCGGGACTCCAGGATCATGACCCGAGCCGAAGTTAGTCCCTTAACCAACTAAGCCACCCAGGCGCCCGCACTTGTTGTCATTTTTCAACCTCTAAACGTTGGAATGGATCAGGAATTAGACTGTGGGTATCTTCTCTATATAACTCTTACTCTCTAAATGATATCATCTAGTCTCAGGGCTTTAAATACCAACTATTTGCTGATGACACCTGTTTCCATCTTCAGCAAAGGACACTTCAGTCTATTTCCCACTTGAAAATATAACCTACATCTTGAATTTAACTTGATTCCTGTCATCTCTTGCCCAAACCTGCTCCTTCCTCAGTTTTCCTCATTTCATTAAATGTTAAGACCATTCATAAACAATTGCTCAGGCTGAAAACCAAGCTTGGATTTCTCTTTCTCTCATACTCCATATCCAATTCATTAGCAAACCCTGGGAAAAGTCCTCATTTGGAAGTCTTTCAATTCAGTCCGACTTTCCTTCAAATTTAATCCTGCCTTACTGTCATTTTTACTAAACACAACATTCCTCAACTAAATTGCTTATCTATTATTTGCAGTTTTCCTTTAAGATTTATCCTCAAGCCTTATTGTCGGCATCAAAAAACCCCATAACATAACCTACCAGCAAAGACAGCTTCTATTCAGTTAACACAGAAGCTGAACTCTCACTTGCACCATGACAACGAGATAATAAACTGCAATTCAGTTCCGATATAAATAAGGCATCATGATCCTAACAATTATTAGAAATAAACACATTTACTAATCCAACAGAACACTGGTAGGAGGAATGGAAAGAAAACAGAAGACATTTATTTTCTTTACCTAGACTTACGAAATTATTCTGTGTTAAACTGACATGGTATGGAAATAATCCAACTAAATCATTTATGGCATGGGAATTTTTTAGAGTTCATGTATAGAAATGCACACTATTGTTCCCATCCTCAATTTCAGAGGGTTGAGAGGATACAAATTTCCTGGTGAATTCATACTCTCTAATTTTGCAATAACAAAAGTCAAGGATATTACCTGAAGGATTTAAAGCATTAGCAGGAGGAGTTTTAGGTAAGAGATTAGAGAATGAAAGGATTATTAGACACTAGAATGTCTAGGTGATAAAAGGAAGCTGTATAGTCTCTCCTACTCAAAAGATGAAACCAAATCGTTGAATTATACGCTCTCTGCGTGGTTCTTAAACAAGTGATTAACCTAACATGGGATGTATCCTATGTATCACACAGAATTCATAGAAATTCTTCTTCTTGAGTTTGGAAACCACAGGTCTAGGCTGATCCCCTAAACTCACCAATCCTGAGCATGGTTACTGGCTTCCTGAGGTGGGAGTGGGCTGGCTAATCGAGACACTTGAATCCAAACCGCATCATACAAGTCCTTCTTCCGGGTATGCACCGTACATGGAACAATCAGTGGCATTCCAAAGAGGCTGGGGCGATTCTTCTGAGATGAAAGGAAATACAGTTCTGTCCTCATCTGTATGTACAAACAAGAGAAGAGAGGACTGAGAAGACAGGCCTTTGATTCCTCCCTTTCATTCTTCTAAGACGGCCAATAACAGACATTGTTATCATTTTCAAATTAGTCACTACCACACCTCCATTTATTGACAGAACCATCTTTCCCTCATATGAAGAGAATGATTATTTAAAGTGGAGTCACTGAAAGGCTGAGGTATTGCCAGCTTCAGAGCTGCTATCAAACATAGGTTTTCGGCATTTAATATTTTCAAACTAGTTTTTTCTAATAAATATTTCTCACACACACTGATTCATATGTAAAAACCAGTAATAGTTTCATAGCTCAAGGCTTTTAAAAGCAATTAAAATCCTTTCTCTAGAAAGTATGCCAGTAAACCAAAACTCCCTCCAAATGCGATTTTCTAATAAGGTGTTGACAGTTGCTGTTAGAGCATAATTCTCAAACTTTTGGAAAGGTACAAAACCCAGTCATTTAATGCTGTAAACACTTATGCACCTTCCTAAAAGTAGCTGAGTGACGTTAGTCTTTTTTTGTTTTTTAATTACATGATAGAATAAAAGTAAGGTACACTTTAAAAATATTTGATTTTAGTATGTTAAGGAGATTTTTATGATATTCCTTAATATAGAGATACTGCACAGAAGTAGCTTAGAAATGGCTGCTTAATAAAACAGAAGTTTAGGGGTGCCTGGGTGGCTCACTTGGTTAAGCGACTGCCTTCAGCTCAGGTCATGATCCGGGGTCCTGGGATCGAGGCCCATATAGGGCTCCCCCTGCTCTGCGGGGATCCTGCTTCTCCCCTCTGCCTCTGCCTGTCACTCCCCCCGCTTGTGCTCTCTCTCTCTGTGTCAAATAAATAAAATCTTAAAAAAACAAATAAATAAAACAAAAGTTTAATGTAATAGAAAGGTTGGTTGGAGTTCAGGATTACTCAAAAAAGCTGTCAAGCACTTGGGACATTTAATTCTTTAAGGTTGGTCTCTGTGTAGTAGTTAGAGAAGCTAAATCAACAACTTAAAAACTCACTAAGGGTTATCTAGTTTCTAGGTGAAAAGACTTCAGATTCTCAAGCATTTTATCTTGCCATTATTCATTTTTTAATTAAAAATTTTAAAAAGATTTTGATTTTATTTTTTTAAAGATTTCATTTATTTATTTGACAGAGAGAGCGAGAGCGCACAAACATGCGGAGCAGCAGACAGAAGGAGAGGGAGAAGAAAGCTCCCCGCTGAGCAGGGAGCCCGATGCAGGACTCGATCCCAGGACTCTGGGATCATGACCTGAGCCAAAGGCAGCCACTTAATCAACTGAGCAACCCAGGTGCCCCTAAAAGATTTTATTTTTAAGTAAACTCTACATCCAACGTGGGGCTCAAACTTACAAACCCCGAGATCAAGAGTCGCACGCTCCACTAACTGTGCCAGCCAGGCACCCCTTGCCATTATTTATTTAAGCTTAGTTAAATACATGATTCTAAGACCCCATTTCATGTGTTGATGTTCTTACAAGACTCATAGAAGTTGGGACGCCTGGATGGCTCAGTCGGTTAAGCATCTGCCTTTGGCTCAGGTCATGATCCCAGGGTCCTGGGATAGAACCCCACGTAGGGCTCCCTGCTCAGCAGGGAGCCTGCTTCTCCCTCTCCCTCTGCCCCCCCCCCCC